GGTCCCTCCCCGGTCCGTGGCCCACGTAAGGAGCGCTTTTTCCTGATTGTGGTGGACGACTATGTTGGATGCACATCATTCTGAGTGCATGTCATCCTAACGTCCTGCCGAGTGCGCGTGCTATTTGTGCTTGCATGATTTGCATGAGCATATGTCATTGTGCATGGCTGTTGGATATTATCATCTTTGTGTTTTACTCCAAGTCCAAATGCTTGATAATGCAGGAGAAATCCAGAGCTTTTCAACGATACCAAGATCGCCTTATTCGGACCAAGATCGCCCAAGTTACAAGATTTCCAAGCCTTGGATTTCTTATTACCTTTTGGGGTTATATCTAATTTGGGTGATTACTTGGGACATGACTATAAAGGGATATTTGGTTGGGTGGTTAGGGAAGGCAAATTTGACTTTTGGATTGGGGTGGCTAGTGAGAGAAGTAGAACGAGAATGAATGAACTATGAATGAAGTGAGTACAAATAGGAAACCCTGATTGGGTTGTACCCCCTATGGGATACCCCACTATAGCCTACACAACAGCATAAGGTAGAATGTTCTGACATACCCCCATAGGCAAAGTGGGGGAGAACAAGGGGTCACAAGACCAGTCAAGCAAAGCAAAGCAAGCTCAGGGTGGATCACAAAGTCACCACACATTCAAAGGCCAAAGGGCCAGTTCACATGCAAGATCACATATATATATACAAGAGGCTAAGCAAGCAAGAGCGAGAGTATATATATGTGACAGTACAAGCAAGATCAAGAAGTGAGCAAGTGAGGCAAGACAAGCACAAGACCCAGCTGAGTGCAGAAGCGCTGATGATCACAAGGCGCAAGTGCCTTGGTGAAGACATCAGTAGTGTTGGCCTCAGAGGCCACGTACGCAAGCCGCAACTGTCCACGCTGCTGTAGCTCACGAGCAAGAAAGTAGCGGAGAGCAATGTGCTTTGTCTTGTGCTCCAGTCGCTGCTCTCGACACAAGGCCAGCATGGCCTTGTTGTCTACGTACAGGACTGGAGGAGAACGAGGCGGCTCTCCAAGGTCGGTCAGCAGGTAGGTGAGCCAGCGAAGCTCCTGGGCAGCCATAGCCCCGGCGTAGATCTCAGCCTCACAACTGGAGCCGAGAACAGAAGACGAACGGGTAGCCTGCCACGAAACAGAGCCGGAACCAAGGCTGAAGGTGTAACCCTGTGACGACCGCTGTGTAGCTTGGTCGTCAGCCCAAGAAGCGTCCGCGTGCCCAGTGAGAACCACTGGACTCCGCCCTCCAAGCACTAGCCCCATGCCCGACGTACTGCACAAGTAGCGCAACATCCTCTTCGCTGCAGCCATGTGCTCTGGTCGGTGTCTCCCAGGAGCAACATAGCGTGCGAGAATGCTAAGAGGGTATGCAAGGTCAGGTCGTGTGCAGGTCATCAGGTACATGAGGCAGCCAACAAGCTCTGGATACGGGCCACTCGACTCTACGGACTCATCCAAAGGCAGAGCTGAGAGGAGTGGCCTGAGGCGAGGAGTACGTGAAGCCGAAGCGCTGAAGGACCTGCTGCACCATGTGTGACTGAGTCAGGGTAATGGTGCGGCGTGCTCTGTCCCGGGTGATCTGCAAGCCAAGGTAGCTGCGCAGTTCACCCAGGTCTGTGCACGTGTGTCTCTTCTGCAGCTCTAACTTCACGTAGGCGAGTCCAGCAGTGTCAGCTGTGGCAAAGACCAAGTCGTCGACGTACACGAGGATGTAGAACGGCGGCAGAGAGGTGTCGGTGCGCAGAAACAGCGACGGGTCGGCAGTAGAAGGAGCAAACCCAAGTGCCGCCAGAGTAGTCCTCAGTGTGTCGTGCCACTCACGTGGCGCCTGGCGGAGACCGTAGACTGGACACCGGAGACTCCACTGGGTACCAGGAGGGAAAGACCCAGTGAAGCCAGATGGGCGGCGCAGCCAGATCTCCTCGTGCAGGCTGCCCTGCAAGAAAGCTGTGCTGAAGTCGAGAGAGTGCAGCTCGTAGTCACGGTGAGCAGCAACGTGCAGCAGTACCCGAAGAGTGGTCATCTTCGGGGTGGGGGAGAAGGTCTGAAAGTAGTCAACTCCCTGCCGCTCACTGAAGCCACGAGCCACGTAACGCGCCTTGAAGACAGGCGGAGAACCCGGCGGCCGCTTCACCCTGAACATCCACATGCCACTGACGATGTTCGCCCCAGGAGGGGGGACAGCGTCAACGTAGGTGCCTGTGGACTTCCAGGAAGCCATATCTGCATCCATAGCTGCCTGCCACTGAGAAGAGTAGGGACCCTCTATCGCCTCCGCGTAAGAGCGCGGAGTCGGGATGTCAAGTGCATCCGGGTCTCCCTCAGGGGTAAGCAGTACGGACACGAGATGAGGTGAAGCAGCGGCTAGACACTGGAACTCCTCCTGCCTGTTCTCAAGGACGTCCGTGCCAAGGGCACACTCACCCCCGACGGACGGAGGACAGTCAGACTCAGACTCAGCGACAAGACTAGCAGCGTAGTCTAGACGACAGCGAGCAGCAAAGTCGACGAGCTCAGTAACAAGGGCAGACGCAGCAGTAGACTCGAAAGAAGGGTCAGTGATGGCAGTAGCAAGGAGACGCGTGACAGTAGGACTGGCAGCACGAAGAGAGTCCGACTCCGGGTCGGCAAGAGCAGGAAGAGAGGACGCAGGAGGAGAAGGCAAAGGGGCACGCAGAGGAGCAGTAGACAGACGCAGAGACATCCGGTGCGTGCCAGGGACAGGAGGAGGACGCTGACGCGAACCGCGACCACTAGCGCGCGCAGCACAAACAGGCGACGCAGGACGAGACGCAGGCTCACGACGCTCAGTAAGACCTCCAGTAGGACCAGCGTAGGGAGAAGGAGCAAGCAAAGGGGAGGCAGGCTGTAGCTGTGACTGTGACTGGACAGGCTGTGGCCAAGGGAGGAGGAGGAGGACCAGTAGAAGGTGTAAGACCATGAACCTGCTGCAAGAGTGGAACGAAGTACGGTCGAGGCCGCGTGGCGCCGCCAGAAACAGCAGGGACAGCACCAGGACACCCAGCAGGAGTACCCGCTCCAGCAGCACCTCCAGCAGCACCTCCAGCAGCACCTCCAGTAGCTCCAGAACCCCCACCAGCACCTCCAGCAGCTCTAGAACCCCCAGCAGCACCTCCAGTAGCTCCAGAACCTCCAGCAGCACCAGGAGCACCCCCAACAGAACCGCCAGTGGTAGTCTCAGCGCCAACACCCTCAGCAGCACCAGCTCCAGTCAAACCTGCAGGCCCAGCAGCTCCAGTACTCCCATGACGAGCACCTCTGGGACCCGCGACAGCAGCACCCTCAGTAGTCGACGAAGCTCCAGCACCAGCAGCACGGCTCCAGCGCCGGGCAAACCACTCGCGCAGCTCCTGTGGAGAGAGTGGCTCCCGGCGAGACGAAGCACCCGGAGAACCTCCAGGTCGAGCACCCCCAGACCCAGTACCCCCAGGCAAGGCACCTCCAGGCGTTACACCCCCAGGCTCAGCACCCCTAGGCTCAGTACCCCCAGGCTCAGCACCCCCAGGCGTAGCACCCCCAGGCTCAACACCCCTTGGCTCAGCACCCCTAGGCTGCGCACCCCCAGGCCCAGCACCCCCACGCTCAGCACCCCCAGGCTCAGCACCCCCAGTCTCAACACCCCTAGGCACAGCACCCTCAGCAGCACCAGAGTCACCAGCGACCTCGACAGGCTCGACTGCGTCTACCTGGGACACACCTGAAGGGGCAGGACCCTGAGGGGGGAGGGGGTCTACCGGGGGGGGACCAGGTACAAGGAAGAGCGGGGGCGGGGGGAGGGACGGAGTGCGGTAGGGGAAGAGGCGGTAGTAGGGTACCGACTCGTCCAACGTGACGTCCTGGGAGGACAGAACACGGCAAGAGGTGGGGTGGTAGAACTGCCACCCAGGGGCGTCGGGGGGGGGGGAACCCCAGGAAGACGCAAGGAGCAGCGCGACGGGACAGCTTGTCCGCGGACAAGTTGCGGACAAACGCCCGAGATCCCCAGACCCGGAACGCCGACGCATCGCCAACCTTCCCCATCCACAGCAGGGCTGGGGAGGTCTCCGGCCTGGAGACCCTGGGGTGAAGGTTGATCTGATGCGCCGCGTACCTCACCGCAAACGGCCACAGAAAATGGGGGGCAGCCGCATGCATCATAGACGTACGAGCGACGTCCATGACCATGCCAATGCGGCGCTCTGCAATCCCATTTTGCTGCGGTGAGTTCGGAAGCATGAAGGTCTGACGGATGCCTCGTGCACGACAGTAGGCACGGAGAAGGCCAGAGGAGAACTCTCCGCCTCTGTCCGAGTGCAGACGCAGAACAGGAAAGTCCGAGCCAAAGCTCTGCCTGAGCTGGAGACGAGCTGCGCGGATCCACTCGATCAGCACCTCAGTGACATCACCCTTGCTGCGCAAGGGGAAGACTGTGGTGTAACGCGAGTAGTCGTCAACCACCAACAGGAAGTAGTGCTCGTGACCTAGTCCACGGACGCGGGCAGGGCCCCACACGTCCATGTGAAGCGTCTGCAATGGGGCCTCTGTCAGAGGAAACTGGGAGGAGTGAGGGGCAGCACGCTGGCGCCCCTTGACACAGGGGACACAGGCAGGGCCAGGGCCCTGAGGAAGGGGAGGGAGGGACTGGGGGAGACCAGACACAAGAAGACGGGAGGCCATGCCTCTGAGCCGAAGCAGAGAGGGGTGAACAAGGCGGTGGTGCCAGAGGAGAGTCTCGTGAGACAGGCGACGACACGAACAGGGGGCAAACTCAGGACCAGACCTGGACGCTGCAGCAAACACCTGACCACACGCAGGGACCCTACCAGACTCAGCAACCGGAGGAGAAGCAGTGGTCAGTGTGTACAGACTCGACCCTGGCTGACGTGTAAACGTAGCCAGGTGGCGACCTATGCTAGCCTCTGTGCAGTGCGTCACCCGCTGACGAGCAGGAGTGAACTGGTGGACACCCGCATCCTGTAGGTCAGCACCACTCACCAGGTTCATAGAGAACAAGGGGAGGTAGAGACCAGACAGGGTGCCAGAGGGAGCCGCCGGACACGGGAGGACAGTGGAGAAGCGAGACAGGACAGGACCCCCAGAGGGGTCAGCCAGGGACACCGCAACCGGCCGACTAAACGGCGTGAGTGTGGTGCGGTCCCGAAAGAAGGAGCCAGACGCCCCAGAGTCAAGGGTGAAGGTGTGGGACGCCGAAGCCGACATAGTACCTGAGAGCGCAGACTCACCAGTACCTGAGAGCACAGACGCACCGGCACCTAGAGCAGTAGCCTCACTGGCACCTAGAGCCGCAGTACCAATGCCCGGGTCGGGCGGGAAACACCGGTAACAGTCACCCTCATCACTAATAGTCACAGCATACATGGCAGCAAGGATAGCATCAAAGTCAAGATCAAAGATAGCTACACCAGCCCTAGACAGCTCTCCCCAGCGGTTGATCTCAGTGGCCTCCGGGAACTGCTGGCGCCAAGCGTCCGTCAGGCGGCCAAAGCACACTGGGCGGGGTGCGCACCCCCATACTGCTCACCCGCGCGGTCGCCAGTGCGAAGGTCGTAGGTGCAGGGACCAAAACCCTCATCACGCTGACGCTGCGTGTACCACTCACGGAGCTGCTGAGGGGTGGGGACGTCGCGAGAACGCTGCTGCTGCTGCTGCTGCTGCTGCTGGCGCTGACCACCCCCAGTGCTGCTCCGCTGCGAAGCGCCACTCCGACCACCTCCACCACCTCCACCTCCGCCGCCTCCACCTCCACCACCACCGCCGCCCCCGCCAGTAACGCCGCCGCCACCGCCGCCTCCGCCTCCACTGCCGCCACTAGCACCTCCACCCCCTCCACCACCTCCACCGCCACCCCCACTCCCTCCGCCACCGCCACCTCCACCTCCACCGCCCCCGCTAGCTCCACCCGCGCCCTTGCCCCCCTTGCCCTTGCCAGGGCGGCGTCTCCCGCTAGGGGCGGACGCCGCACCGACCGACTCAAGACCAACGAGGTCAGCCGCAGCGGCAGAGGCGACAGAGGGCAACAGGGGGGAAGGAGAACACCCCTCAAAGATGGGGGTGCGAGGGTCACCACGAGAGGCCCCTACAGCGACTATGCTCTTCTCTGCCGCTAGGAGGGACTTCTCGAGGAGGTCTACAGTGAGAGTGGTGGGACAGACTGAGAGGAAGTGGTCCCTGACTACACGAAGGGAGTCAGGGAGACGAGTGACTATGAGATAGAGAGTGATGTACATGGGGGGGGGGTTCTTGGCGCAGAAGTCAGCAGGATGCGCAGCGCGGTAGGGAGTGTCACTAGTGCGGAGGTGCGTAATGAGGTCAGCAACTGTGGGAAAGGCAGCAAGGTCAGGGAAGAGGAAGGGTAGCATGAGGCGGCTCAGTGCAGCAGTGGCAGGGGAGGAGTAGCGTGCAACTACAGCGTCGTACAAGGTCTGAGCACTCTTGTACTGACTAAAGTGCGCGCGCTCAGTGGTAGGCAGGTGGCGATGCACAGCAAGACGTGCAGCAGCATCGCGTGTGGCCCACTGGGAGCGAACAGTGGGGTCAGCATCAGCAGCAGGGGCAGGGACGGCGCCAGAGGTGAGGTCAAAGAGAGAAAGACCGTCTGCCCTATCGCACTGTAAGAACAGCTACAGGTCGTCGACCCAGACCTCAAAGTCAATGGCGCGGCCCTCAGCGTCAAAAGCAAGGACACAAGGGGTAGCCATGACAGCAGTCGACGATCTCACCAGATAGGACGGGTCGGGCAGCTCAGCAGCACAGCAACACGGCAACACTGCTGCTCGGCCGGCTCAGCAGCAACAGCAGCTCCGCGGGACCAGCAGCTCGGCTCCTCAGGTGACTCGGGCGGCTCGGGTGGCGCAGGCGGCTCGGGCGGCTCGGGCGGCTCGGTCGGCTCGGGTACTCAGCGGCACAGGCGGCTCGGGCAGCTCGGCTCCTCAGCGGCACAGGCGGCTCGGGCGGCTCGGGTGGCGCAGGTGGCACGGGCGGCTCGGGCGGTTGGGTGTCACAGCGGCGTACGGGCGGCGTGGGGCCGGGACGGCGGCGTGCGGCCGGGACGGGTGGCGCACGGGCGGTGTGAGGCCGGGACAGCGGCGCACGGCTGGGACGGGTGGCGCACAGGCGGCGTGGGGCCGGGACAGCGGCGCGCGGCCGGGACAGGTGGCGCACGGGCGGCTGGGAGCGGGGCCGGGACGGGCGACGCACGGGCGGCTTGGGGCCGAGACAGCGGCGAGGGGCCAGGACGGGCGGCGCACGGGCGACGAGGGGCCGGGACGGCTGTGCGCAGCCGGGACTGGCGGCGCACGGGCGGCGTGGGGCCGGGACGGGCGGCGCACTGGCGTCGACGGGCCGGGGCAGCGGTGCGTGGCCGAGATGGGCGGCGCACAGGCGATGTGGGGCCGGGACGGGCGGCGCACAGGCGTCTGGGGGCCGGGACGGGCGGCGCGACGGCGGCGTGGGGCCTGGACGGGCGGCGCGCGGGCGTCTAGGGGCCGGGACGGGCGGCGCGCGGGCGTCTAAGGGCGGCGCGCGGGCGTCTAGGGGCCGGGACGGGCGGCACGCGGGCGTCTAAAGGCAGCGCGCGGGCGTCTAGGGGCCGATAGGGCAGGTCGACAAAGTGAGAGAGAGGGCCCGGAGCGCGACTCAGGGCGAGCGCGCTTCGGGCAGGAAAAAAAAAGTTATCGATGTGGTGGGCCCTAAGCACAGTTCCCACGGGGGAACCTGCTCGATACCATGAGAGAAGTAGAACGAGAATGAATGAACTATGAATGAAGTGAGTACAAATAGGAAACCCTATTGGGTTGTACCCCCTATGGGATACCCCACTATAGCCTACACAACAGCATAAGCTAGAATGTTCTGACAGCTAGAAGTTTCTAGCTTGGTTTTAAATGTTGCAACACCTAGGCAAAATCCAACTAGATTGGATTTTGCATGTGACACCTCAAGGACCTCATGATGAGGGTTGCATCCTTGCTGCTGGGAAGGTTCCTACCATCCTTCCCTAGCTCTTGGAGAACCCCTTCCCTCTCATGGTTCTCTTGGAGTCCCCAACTCCAACTTCCCATGCTCTAATGTTTGTACTTCCTCCACCATTCTAGTCATGCGGCTGCTGGACGTTTTTACTTGGTTCTCACTCTCTAGACCAACTTAATGACGGATTCAACTCGGAGATGGTAGCTAATCCTAAGGCGTAACTTCCTACCAAGCGGATTTGCGTTTAGTTGAGAATTGAGTTCGTCGTAAGCTCTCAAAGTGATGGATCCTGAACAACATACTACTCCCGCTACACCACGGTTTTCCCTTTGCGACGGATGGCCAACGTGCCTACCGTCCTCGATCCATGGCTACTAGCAAGGGGTGGCACCCAAGCCCTTTGTGGGCTCCGCCTGTTCTCGTACCGTGGTGGTGAGTTTTCTTCCACTCGCCTAGAGACATTTTGTCAGGTCGTAGGATCATTCAGTCTTACACATTACCAGCCTTGCCGCATCAAAACGGAGTAGCCGATTGACGCATTGGCCGAGCGACGCTTTGGAGGTTGCCCAGACCTCCATGTGTCATGCTGGTAACCCCTCCAATCCTGTGGCCTGAGGCAGTCCGCTACGCTGCGCACGAGCTGAACATGTGGCCCAGTGACGCATTGCCACGGGTGACGCCGGTCTCCCTTTGGACAGGTTCTCTGGGCGTAGCAGCCGACTTCCGCGTCTGGGTTTCTTACCCTTAAGCCCCCCCAAGTCGCCCCGGTAGCCCCCCCCCCCTTCGCGTCCTGCCCCGTTAGGTGTGTCGCACATCACTCCGCAGTCGTCCCCCCCCCCCCGGCGTCCAGTCCCTGACATGTGTGGGGGTGCAAGATGTGCAGTTGCAAAGGGTGAGGATGCTGGGGCTGCTAGAGCTGGTGGTTTCGGTTCTGAGGGTGCAGTGGATGTGGGCATGGAGGTCACTCCGTTGACACACGAAACGCACGATGATTCGGCGCCGGACGCCGACTTGAGGTCCAGCCCAGTGGCAACCTCGTGCTTCGCCGAGTTCCGGAAGGTGTTCATGCGGACGTGCGCAAGCCTCGCATGCAGCCAGTTCGGCTTGGACTTTGTGACCGAGACGATCTCCCGTAGGGCCACCACCTCCGTTGAGGACGTCGCCGAGCAAGGACGCAGGTCGGTGCAGAGGACGTGGCTGGTATCCGTCGCCCAATCAAGCACGTCCCCCGCTGCCAAAACAAGGAGCATCCCGTCCCCGTCCTCCTTCAGCTTCACGCCGTTCTCCTTTAGTTGGCCGGCGGACAGTAGGTTCGCCCACATGCCCGGAACGTAGAGGACGTCGGGGATAAGCATCTGCATCAGGTGGTGCGAACAGCCGTTGCCGAGCACGACCGCCGCCAGGTTCGCCTGCACAGCTGCCGCCACTGCCTGGAAATCCTCGCTAGCCTCCGGCGCCAATGAGACAGTCGGCTCGACGACGCCGACCAGCGAGCACAACGCCTCCTTGTCATCTTGCCCCTTGCCGCCTGCAGAGGAGTCGGCCTCTCCTTGCGCGACTGGTCTCCTCAACGTGGACGATGATAGGCCGACCTCCCGCGGCCTCCCTTGGCGTCGTCGTCACCAGAATCACTGCGGTTGGGGCACTCAAAGGAGAGGTGGTTGGGGTTGTGGCAGATCTACCACTCCCGGCGCCGACTTCCTCCTCCATGACCGCCATCCGTGGCCGACTTCCTCTTGTCAGCGTCCTTGGCCGGCTTCCAGCCATTGCTTCCACTGCCGCCAAGCTATCCGCGCTGTCCCGGTCGACCGCCTTGCTTCGCCGGGGCAAGGTAGTTGGCCTGCGGTAGGAGCTCCGAGGACCGTTCGGCTTCCTGCATCGCCTCGTCCCGCAGGATGTACGAGGTCAGGGAGTCCTCGTTAAGCGTTGCCCGCGTGCTCGGCACCACTGACAGCCGCTTCATTAGGTTGTAGATGCTTGGGAGCCCCTTCAGGACATGGGTGACGTACGATGACGTGGAGTACTGCACGCCGAACATTCTCATGGTGGCGAGAAGTCACCGTGCTCGGTTGCAGTAGTCGGTCGCCGTCTCCTGGTCGCCCATTTGCACATGCACCATCTGCTCATCAAGCTGGCCGATGTACAACTCGTCGCTGACCAGGTGCGTCTACTCGATGAAGTGCCACGCTTGGTGGCCAGCGTCCAGGTAGTCCCTGCACAGCTTCAACTGTTCCCCCAGGGTGTCCATCACCTTTGTGTCACCTACGCCCAGGATGGTGACTAAACGGCGGCCTGCCTACGAACTCGATCCAGCGCAGCAGGGCTTGACCGCTCCAGCGTTGCATAGTAGCATTTCCCCAACGTTGCAAATCCATTGTGTGCCAACGCTGCAGCAAGTCGGCTGCATAGCGTTGCACCCGCTGGACAACGGTGCACCTGCTTGCAACTGGTTGGTGCATCACTCCTCGTCACGTGCACAGCGCAAACGCCTAGGTCAACTCCACGCCAGCGACAGCGCCCACTAGCCACGTCGACCTCGGGATACCACTTCCAAGGTCGGCCTCGCAGAAACCACTCCGGCAACCTTCGCACATGTTGCCCGTTGCCCGGTCGACGGGGCAACCATACCTGGTCGCCCAGCCCTAGTTGGTTGCCGGCTACAACAAACTGGTATCCCCAGCATCCATGTCCGCGTCCTGATGCCTAGGTTGGCGTCTAGGCATGTGGGACACCGTCCAGACGCACAGGTCAGCGATCAGGAGCCCGGGACGCCGACCCGACAACCAAGTCGGCGTCCAGCCTCCCAAGACGTCGTCCAGGCGTCCAGGACGCCGTCTAGGCACTCAGGACGACGCCCAGACGCCCAGGACGGTGTCCTCCTGCTCGGCGCCCTCCAGTCAAGCGCCCTCCAACTCGATGCCCATGCAGTGGCCCCCATGCCCACTACTGCAGGTCAGCTGCATTCCCCGCACACCCAGCCTCGAAGTTGGCTCCGCCCAAGTGAGGACGGGGCCAAACAACACTCCCGTTGACATGAGAGTGTAGCATTCCTTAGCATTTGCTTGTGTTCTCTCTAGACACATATTCACGGGGAGAATTGACAAGAGTTCTATTAGCAAAAGTTTACAACAATGATTGAAAATGGCACAGTAGCACTGAATACATTAGGAGCTAGCATGCAAGCAGGTCGACTGCCAATGCAGCACGGTCGATTGCGTTCAAGCACGACAATGCCGACCGCGATGTAAAAGTGCAAAGTAGTGATCTGCCAACACTGTGAGTCGACGGCGTGTGGTGCAACTTCAGTCACGAGAAACAAACATAATACTGCAAATATCAAAAGTGTTAATTGCGGAGGGAATCGGCTACAACTTACTGAGTGTCAGTCAGCTGATGGCGAAAGGCATCCATCTCGAAGTAGACAGCACAAGACAGGAGTTCAAGTTATACCACGTAAAGAGCGGTCTCTACATCGGGAAGGCGGTCCCGAAAAATAACGTCTTCATCCTCGACTTCGTCCCAGATCTTGGCACCGCTGACAGCGACGGGATTGTCACCTTCACCTCCTCGACGCACCCACCGGATCTTGATCCCGACTTCAGTCCCGAAGGATTCTGGTACTCGCACACCATCCCTGAATGTGAGAGTACGACGGCTTATGCCAGCTATGCTTGCTTGCCTTTACTTTATTATGCTATTTCTAGCATAGGAAAATGATATGCATGCATGA